ATACATCATAACTTCGATCACGGGGCCCGCCACCGCACGAGGAGCTTCAATAACGATGCAATCTCATTCAGACACTGGCTAGTGGCAGCTACGAACTAGCAGATGTTACTGTTTTTCGGAGAACAATACTTTTAAATTTTTATGCAACGAGATGATCCATTTTAACACTTGCTTCGTGGGTGCAAAATATATAAAAGTGACTATGACAGCTATAAATTATATTTTTATAAATGAAATTCGAATAGCTATGGTAGTATAGTAACTTATATTCGAAATTTCCTGTATTCTACAATTTCAGTAACTTGGAATTAATTTTCGGGAAGTTAAAAATAATTTTCTAGACATTTAAGGAAATTTTTAAATATTTGTTTATTATAAATTCAAATTCAAGATTAGACACTGACATAACGCTAATAAAATAGCTTCTTCGTTTGGATATACACCGAGTATTACCTAGTAGACCAACCCCACAGTATTTTTCTTCAAGAATTCTTCGTTGTAAGAGCAAAGAGAATTTACAATACAAGAATAAATTTCGTCGCGATAAAGATTTTAAAATGCAATACGTTAATAATTAATTATCGACGGAGAGAGTAATTATTTGTTCTGGAAAAATAAAGAAAATGAACTCTGGACAGTATAATTGCCAAAAATTGGAAGAATTTTCCAAGATACGAGGAACCCGAAGAATTTTAAGCGTCCAAAAAATTTTCTCGAATTTCCTTTCACTTGCTTATCGGAATACGCTTTCCAGAGGTGGATCCTCGAGTGTTTTCTCGGTTTATAGCTGTCGCTAATCGCGACCACGGATATACATGTCGTAAAAAGCATAACCGCTTTGGCGGAGCGCGGGATGGCCGGGGTGCACGCAGAGGGGTTGCGCACAGCTCGCATTCATAACATCAGACGGGGTAATAAAAGTCACCACTCCCTCCCGCTCTTTCTGCTACAGCCCCACCTTCGCCTGGGGAACTGGAGGGATCGTGGAGGCACGTAGGTGAATCAAAAAGCGACGGGGTAGCAACGACGCGGACCACCGTTATTGTGTAACGTTCTTCCTGCACGAATTTTTCTCGCAAACCCCTCTATCCCACTCGTGTATCCGTTGCACACGCGTGCAGATTATGTGCGAGTGTAATTAACGGTTGCGATGAGATTAGGAGAGCAGCGAGGGTTGGTCGTGTAGATCGAACTGAAATAAAGTTGCGACGGTACTTGAAAAGTTTCTTAGCTTGGTTCCTGAATTTCTTCATTTTCTTCTTTATTACCAGATAATTCTAATTTTTAAATTAAAAAAAAAAAGAAAAAATTGGGAATTAGTAGTTTGCTAATGAATAATTATTTATTATTCTTCCTTCAAGTACGATTCTTTATATTCCTACATTACACTGTAAGATTTAATTGCTTCCCAAGTCCTTAAGTCCTTAAGTAGCATTTACTCACCCGACTTTACTTTAATTTTTCATTCGTATATTATTATACGAATAGCATTGGGTTGATAAAAAAAAATACCGATATTTTTAATAGAAATTGGTAATTTTGTTTCGAGCAAAGAATATTACATAGAATAATGATACTGATTGTTATTTATATACAGGGGAAAATACCATCTATTCCAAAAATCCAATACTAGACGAAGAAAATTGTTTTTTAATTGTTAATATTAGTTTTGTTTACTTCCGGACAAAAAATGAAATAAAAATTTCCAAATCCATGAAAACAATGAAATACCCTCACCTGCATCCAACCACATAAATATCCTTATACCAGTAAATCATTTAGTCACAGCCAGTTCCATCCTCGTCCGGAAAATAGCATCGGCCCCCTAATCGCGAGGCTGATTTTACGCTGCATCATTTACGAGGCAACAGAAGCCGAGCCGATCGAACCCGATACATTGAACGACGAACGCGTTAACGAGCGGGGCAAAGCACGAGGAATTTCGCGTGGATTCATTAAACGATTCTTGCGCGGGCGAGGGTGCAGGATCAAAGGTCAGCAGGCATGTTGCCGTGGCCGATTAAAGGGAAGAACGATCGTATCTTCGACAGTCACTTTGTCCCCCCGAGCTTGATCCCCTCGCTGTAAACTACTCGGATCCATCGTCCCCATCTTTCTCGTGCCACGCGGGTCAAGTGTTTCCAGCCACTTAAACGTGTCGCGAGGGTGGGTCAGGCCATTGAAAGAATCGCAACTATTTCATTTCGGGGACAGATTAGACGGATTAGCGACCGGGCGATACGACGTTTAGCTTACGCGACTGCATTCCGCAGCGGGGGTTCCCCGTGGAATATTATTTTTCCGAAATCCTGCCGACCAACTTTCCGTATCAGTTTTTCTACAACCCTCACTCGTGTCACCCCTTTGTACGCTGTAACGAATTTCTGGTGCTCGTATATTGCGCGATATCCTCGCTTCGCGAATATTCGACCGGCGATTTCACGGCTTTCAAACGACTTTTCTCGTGGAAAGTTGCTGGAAAAGTTGCCGCGATTTCGATTACGCAAGGAAAAAGTTGGGGTTCAACGAATTTCGGTATACCCCCCCTCACCCGCCCGTATACCGAGATAAAGCAAGATTTTTTCGACGAATTTCCGTTTTAATTTTAATTTCGGTTTTAATTTTAATCCCGTAGTGGGATTCCGGTAATTTCATTTTCGGCTGAACTTTGGCCGTTTCGCGAGGATTATGAATATTTTTATTTAAATGAGTGGCGGGGAATTTTGTCGGAATTTTTCGTTATACGCGGAATGTAATGAAACGTTGGAGCATTAATTGTAAATGGTCATTTCCAAATGGAAAATACAGGGGCCATTTTCAGGTGGGTACAAAGTGTTCCATTGTGATACGCGGCGATTATCAATACTCGTGTGTGTTAATTAAGTACCCCTTTGAACTCGCGATATCTTTATCTACGGGCAAACCTTTCGTCCCTGACAAAGGGATTAAGCCGAAAATCGGATTCGGACGTTTAATTTAGAGTAACGACGAGCTTGAAATGTATCCGAGCCAAAGGATATCAACCTCTGATAATGAATGGCTGCCTTTGATGAAAGAAAAACGGTTACATGTATAAACGTTCCGATAATTGACACGCAATTCTCTTTTTTTCAAATATCAGATTTTCTTTCATATATATATATTTATATTTTTTGATCTGCTCAATAGTGAATAACGAGTCTCGTTAAACCGGGATATGAAAGAAAAAAGAAAAAAGAAAAAAAAGGAAAGAATAATCCAGTGAAGATAATCCACTTGAAATTTAAACGTGAAAACTTTTACCGCTCCACAGTTCCTTTTTAATTTTTCAATATTTCGCATTTTTTAAACTCTGAGTTATCATTTTTCTAGAATAAATTTATTATATTTATTTTTTTTTTCGAAAAAATTTTTTGATCATGTTAATTAATAAATTTTTTTTTTCAGTTTTTAACTCTTCATTTGATTGTTAGGTGGTAACGTTTATTTTAAACGAGAGTCATATTCAATAACGCCATCTTAGTTCATTAGACTTTCGAACTATAACAATGGGTGCTTCTAAGTATGTTACATTTTTGATTGCCTCTACCTCTCGGCATCCGGCATTAGGAGTCATCAGAAAAAGTTGGTAAGTAGCGAAGTATAAAATGGATATATATTTTGAATATTCTGTGACATACAAAAGTTTACATCCACGGCAGTTTCACTAAATTATTTCGTATAAATATAATGTGTATTGCCATTGTAAGCAACCGGTTTCTAAAGTACAATTTTATGTTTGAAGATGTTTTCCTAACATAATTGCATTTTAATTCCAAAAAATAATGTATTTCTATAGAAATAACTAGTGTGGATTTATTACTTTTCAATCTTATTTTTTTAGCTTACTTGCAAAATTATGCTACCAATATGCATTTATATAAATTACCATTAAACATTAGATGTAATTTAATCAATTATGCATATAAACAATAAGATTGCATGTGTTTTCGACTAGAAGCTTGTAGCTTAAAAGAATGTAATAAATTTGTTATTCGTATCTTTAGCATTGTTAAAAGTATATTTATCAGCCGTACGATTGAAACTTAGAAAATAGACTGACTGCATTCTTCAAACATATTTTGTATCAAATCAATCATTTCTGATGTAAAAACATTAGAGAAACTTTTAATGATAGACTTGTAAGTAATAGTAATAAGAATTTGATTATGCCCAAAGATTTTTATGACTGCATAAATTATTCTTATGAAAAATTAACCTACTTATGTATAATATACTAATCACAAACAAAACAATATTCATATAAGAATGTAATGTGTATGTTGCAAATAATTAAATTTATTAATTTGCTATAAAGAAAAGTTTTAAGTCTTTTTGGCAAAAAGTCTATTATTATAAGTTTCTGCAATTGTTTATGAAATAATATTCGTAATTCCAAAAATCACAGCTTCCTTAATAACTAAATACATAAATAGACATTTAGCTTCTATATGCTAGGTAGTATGTTATGCATTGTGATGCAAAATATAAACACAGTTAATAAATTCATGTTAAATATAATTATAAGTTACTAACTATGTAAGTGTATTAAAGACAATTGAAAATAATGCTCATCTATGCAATTATTAAAAAGGCAATTACACAGAAAATTATATTATTATACTTTTAGTATTGACATTCTTGCTTACCTATGCTAATGATTGTAATTGTTACAAAAGGTTTAGTTAAAAGCAGAGTACAAATACTATAAAAAACAAAAAAAGATGTCAATTCCCATGTATTTGTTTAAAGGAAAGAGTTATTCTTATAAGAAATAATACTTCTATTTTATTATTATCGAAAAATCTCCTGTATGAAATAAGTTGTCTTTTTCTAATCAGTGGACTAGTAACTGTTCTTGATATAATGTCCTAATCTCACTTTACATACGGGTATAGTATTAAACTGTCTAAGGCAGATATTGTGTATATCAGCAGGTCAAAATGCTTTATAGTTATAAAAAGTGAATAGATATAAATATAATATATATATGCCTATATTTCAATATTATAAGAAGCATATGCTGCTGATATTTTATGAACACTAAATACTTCCATCAGTGATCTTTGGTAATTGTTAATTAGCAGCAATCAGTAATTTTACCAGCGTGGTGATGCTGATGGTATACTTTGTTGACATGCTAATGAAGGTCCACTGTATAATTAAGAAAAAAAAGTATACTGCTTAATATATTAACGTCAAATATTATTTATTCCAATTAAACTTTTCATACCTCCATGCAATAAGAGGAGAAAGCCTTTCTGTTAATCTTTGGTAATTTCTTTCCAGTTCTCGTTGATAATCTCGTTGATCTGGTCCAATCAAATTTTTGTTTCTTCTTAAAGCATCCAGACACTTCTTTGAGAAATCCTTGAAACATAAGCGTAATTTATGCTGCAGTCTAGTAGGTTGTGCATTCTGTTCTCTTAATCCAGAAAGAAAAACGACTGCCACTTCTGCAGGGCCTTGATTAACTGTTGTACCAATGCAACCTTGAAGGACCATTTGCAGCATTTTTGCATCTGGTGGTTCTTGGGCTGTAGCTGCTGCAACCTGAAATAGATTCAAGTATAGTGAAACTATAAAAACAAAATTTATTTCTTTTTGAAGTATTATATTTACCTCTGCAGTTTTCTTTTGTATATCTTCAATTGCAACCTCAATTGGACTTAGGACTATTTGTTTCCTAGCAACCACGCGAATCCTCGTTTTCAAGTAAGGAAAATGCGTAGCTACTGTTAAAATTGTCTTACGTTTACACTGTTCCCTTAATTCTCCATGAGCCTTGCCACCAGGTGTAAATGGTGTTGCATATACGAATCGCTCTACACATTTTTCAATGCAATAGTAATAGAGAAAAAATAAACTTTCCAAATTATTTAATGTTATTCAAAACAGTACTTACTAATATTAAAATTTCTATGAAAAATAGTTGGTCTATGCCTAAGTTCGTGTGGTTCAAAATATGGTTCAACATATGTGATTTGGACATAAGCTTTATCAGGTTCTAATTTGCTAGGATCCACAGGATTTGAATCCTTTATTATCACAATGTTCTCTGTACCAAATCGCTCGGCATAGAAATTTTCCAGCCTCGAAAATATCTCTGGCAGCTTTGTTAAAGTTGGTTCTTTATAAACAAACTCTTCACCAGCGAGATCACCAAAACGTCCACCATAAAATCCAACTCTGAAATACGTTCCAAACACTCGCTTTCCAGCTAATTGTTCCACGCGTGTATATGCTTCGTGAAGTTTCCTATGATCAGAAAAACCACAAATTAAAACACAAATTCGTCTTTACAATAATGTATTCAGAAAACAAAAAATACCATACCCATGAATATTAGCTAATTTTTTATAGTCATGAGCAGCTTCTGCTATAGGAAGCAACACTCTGTATACATCAGGAATGGCTTCATACATTCCAGCTGCATGAAAAGAACTAGCAGCATGCTCTAATAAACCAGCTAAACCACTTTCTGAAAAGTCTGGTCCTAGACACAAGCCTTCCTCTCTTCTTGCCAGCACATCATCACCCACAGCACTCTCTTCTAAAGCATTTGGAGTGACAGGAGCTAAAGCAACAGCTCCTACTGGACGTCCTCCACCTCCTGGTTCTAAGAGGTGTAAATATTCTGCTACCAAAGCAGCACTATGCACTAAACACATAGCTGCCTCTGTATGATTCTTTCTTTCCATGTGTTGTTGAGCCATGTTTGCTAGCCACGTAAGTCTAAGATCTGGCGAACCTTGATATCCCTTTGCAATTCTAGGGAATCATTAATTTTAATTTAATGAAATTTATATTTTGTATTTTGTAACTACTTCTTACTTTCAATACAATTACCTATACATGAGATCTAAAAGCATCTCTGGGTCCTCCTGGAATTCTTTCATTTTAACAGTATCAGACAGTATCATGTGTAGATTGAACAAAAGATCTTTCACTTGTTCTGGAAAACTTGTATCTACTAATTCTGTATCTCTCTCAGCATACACTAGTACTGTTTTTAATGCTCTTCTAAGTGCTCCTTCGCTAGGAGCTCTTCCTCTTCCAACAAGAGCAGACAGAGAAGTAGTAACTTGCATTTTAACTCTAGCAAAGTTCTAGAAATATTACATTATTTAGTATATTTAAAAAATATATTGTTGATAGCTTGATTATGTGTTATCCAAACACATACATTTCCAATTTCGAAATTTTGCCTCATCAATAGATAAAGACTGGCAGCAGCATGACTCCGAACGGCACTTAAGGGAGAGCTGCATCTAGTGAGTAATGTTAAACACAGATCACCGCATCTCTCGCTTTCCTCGTCAAACAGAGCACTGTGGTATTTAAACACTAAAGCTCGTTGAGTATTAAACATATGTTGCAACACAGATGTGCTCTGATTTCTTGCTAATGCTCTTAAAAGAACTTTCAACACTGCTCCTACAACTGCACCTGCAATATATTAAAATTTGTATGAGTATACAAAGCATAGAATTTGTAAAATTTGTGTATAGGTAACAAAGTACCTCCTCCTCCATCAGCTTGAACAACTGTTTCCAAAGTATCTAGAACCACCAGAGAGGCTTCTGCTGCTAAGGCACCTTCTATATGAGCATCTTGTTCCACAGCTCTTCCTTCTGACTGTTCACAGGATCTTAAAAAGCAAATCAATCACAAATTACTTAACATTAAAGTCTTCACAGATATAAACTAGTCTTCATACCTATAAGGCATTTGATCTTTACGCCATCGAAGTTTGTCCCCACTCATTCTTTCTTTTCTTCTCAACATCATCTCGCTTCTTGCGCTTCCTTGACCAAGAATCACATCCTCCAATCTAGATCGTATATCACTCGTGACTGCAGCTTGCGGTGGTAGTCTCTTTAGCGCTTTTTTCCCTTTATATTCAAATGCTGCAGTGGCAATATTGAGAACTTGAAGAAGACACAGTATACGCCTAGAACTTAGTTCTGAACACCATTGAGCCAACGCAGACTGTTCTAATCCTTTTAGTACCCACAAGACACACATCAAAAGATGTCTTGTAGCCTCTGAACTCAAGGAAACTCTGCATTGGGTTCCTGCTGTGTCTGCAGAAACACCACCAGCTATGGCTAGAGCCACAGATTGCGTGATAGATCCAGACTCGTCTGGATAGACGCTCTTGTCTTTCGAATCCCAATGATAGAGCTGTGGTAGAGCATCCATTATAATATTTAGAAGTGGTAGATATAGTGCAGCGACCCTTGCTTTCGCGGCAGGATCAGAATATCGTGAATCAACGTCGTGGTATGCCATCAGGTGTCTAACAGTTCCAATGGCTTTGTTTTGGAGCATAGGATTTGGTATTTCTAGAGTGTTAGATAAATCTGATAAAACAATTCCCACCAAGAAGTGTTGCTGCCGAAATTCCTGACTGAGTTCAGAGAATCTTGCTCGGTCTCCAGGCACTAGAGTGGATATCAGACTGCCAGAGCTTCCAGTCGATGGACTAGGCGAAGCTGGTGCCGATCCAGATGTGTATCCAGTCCCAAATGGGAGATTCAGCGCCACATAGTGTTCGTGAGAGCATACTGTTCGCACAAGATCCAATTTCAGGGCGTAAAGTGCAGCTGAATCAGGAATGTGCATAGATGCATCCGATAAAGAGCAACAGGCAGCACGAGTCAAGGATAAAACGAATCCCCTATCCATTATGGATAGTAAATCAGATAGAAAATTGCCTAGACTCGATATTAAATTATTGGGTACTCTATTTTCTTTCCCACAACGTGAAATCACGTCTGAAGTTAAAGCTGCAGTGAGTGTAGCCACATCGTCACAAAATTGTGGAGAGAACCTCGACTTCCGTGGAGCGTCCAATAGCCCCATTTCCGATAATGTCACAACCATTGAGCGAACGATCAATTCCAAGAAAAACCACGAATACGTGATAGCCAATTCTCGCGCCTGTCCTGTCGATACTACCCAATGTAATGCCAATTCCTCGTGTAGGAGTCTTCTGGTAGGCTGGCTATTTATGGAAGGCGATTCTTGGCGCATCGAGGCTGTTCGATCGAGTCCTCGGGAGTGTACCTCCATTTCTAAGTCCTCTAGAGGTAGGTCGGGATTACTCTGAGCTCGAACAATGCCAGGACTGTTCGTCATTTGTGGTAAAGAACACTGATAAGCAACGTAAGTAGCCAGAAGAGCGTGTCTTCCGTGAGGATCTAATTGACCATCAGGTAAATTAGTGATATTTCGGACTAGCAGACCTATGGCCTCGAACACCGTAGCTGCCACGTTCAGTGGTTGAGATGGCAAGGTTGGAGGCCTTACTAATAGGGATATTAATTGATCCAGCAATTGAGGTAGCGATCGTACTAAAGCAGAGTGAGATGCTCTTGCCAATTCCAGCAGGGCTGATTTTAATTCCGACTCCATTCCTG